GACTGAGCCACCCAGGCGCCCCAAAATGTATCTATTCTTAATTTCCCTATTTTATTTTCCAGTTACCAAATTTCCATGACTTTTTTTTTTTTAATTATTCCAGGGCTCTGCTAAACTTCTCCATCTTCTTCTCTATTTTCTCAAATGTATCAAAGTCCTAGCCTGATAATACCAATATGAGTTACCTATAGGTCTGTTCTATTGTCTTTTTTCTTTTCATTGGTTTTCAGTCTTTGGGGGGTTTTTTTGTTGGGATGTACCCATAAATTTTTATTGTATTATGGATGAAAAAATTTAAAGACTCTAGGTGTACTTCCTCCAGAGAGGGCTAAGTTTCCTGTAGGCAGGCAGATAGTTCTAACAGACTATATATATTTATATATAAATATATATATATATATTTTTTTTTTTCTAACAGATTATATTGATCCTTTTGAGGGTTAGTGTTATGCCTTATTAGGGCTGATTTATTTTGGTTTGCCCTTTCTTCTAGGGAGTGGTCTTTTCTCCTGTGATGTGGCCCTTACTCCTAACACATGGGCCCTCTCAACTGCAAGTCCAGATCTTTACCAAATCCCCTCTACCTTTGCTGGGCTTAAATTTCAACTTTGTTCTTAGCTCTGCAAAGCTACTATATATAATCTCTGTTCAGCTCTTTAGACTCAACCTTCTGTTTTCTGCTAGATTTTTTAGTGTCATACTCTGTAGATGTACATTTGGAAGTCAGCTAATAAGTGGAGGAGGAGATTTGTATGCAAATTGGGAGGCTTGTTTCTCCTTGGTTCCCCCTGTCCTTTGTGCCTCAAGAGTTCTGACTGCTTTGGCCACCCAGAACTCCCATCTCCTTAGCTCATTGTGCTGCTGTTTTCTGCTTGGCCCTTTTCCTCTGCTCTGTCCTGCAAAGTGTGCTCAGGGGTAAAGCCTGTTAATGTTATCTGTTATGCCTAGATTTATCATCTCTTCTTTTTTTTAGGTTATCTCTACACCCAACATGGGGCTCATGACCCCTGATAATCAGGCGTTTTGTGCTCTGCCGACTGAGCCAGCCAGGCACCCCTAGACTTACCAGTCTTTTAAGATTTTACTTATTTGTCAGACAGACAGAGAGAGCATAAGCAGGGGGAGTGACAGGCAGAGAGAGAAGCAGGCTCCCCACTGAGCAAGGAGCCCGATGCGGGACTTGATCCCAGGACCCTGAGATCATGACCTGAGCCCGAGACAGACGCTTAACCGACTGAGCCACACAGGCGTCCCATATCATTCTTATTTTTAATTCTTGCCAATCTGATAAAATTTGGAGCTGAGTTGGTTTAGAAGCTGAATAGGGTTTGAGTAAGCAAAAATGACTTTACAAGTAGAACAGTATGAGCACAACATAGTGGGGAAGAATTAAAAGATTAAGGTGAAGCAATTTGAAGCATCAATATTGTACTAATTTTCCAGGAGGAAAGCACATACATTCTCTCTGGAGATCTGTTTGTGTGTCTGGAAATAACTCCCGATAGCTTGTAATTTCTTTGCAGTCTCATGTTTTACTTTAAAAATTAATATCAATTTTGAGGGGCACCTGGGTGGCTCAGTTGGTTAACCAACTGCCTTCGGCTCAGGTCATGATCCCAGGGTCCTGGGATCGAGCCCCGCATCGGGCTCCCTGCTCAGGGGGGAGCCTGCTTCTCCCTCTCCCTCTGCCTGCTCCTCCCCCTGCTTGTGCTCTCTCTCTCTGTCAAATAAATAAATAAAGTCTTCTTAAAAAATTAATGTGAATTTTGTTTTCTGATCCATGATATATCCCTCTTTGGTTTAAAATGTTTTAATTGGTTATTACCAAGTAGTATTATTAACCAGCAGGAACATGTACCACATTTATCCTAGGACTATTAATACTCTCTGACATACATGGTTTATCCCCAGGAAAGACAGGTGATAGACTATATAAAAAAGAGGTTTCAG